GTCTGACGGAGAAAATAAAAACAGCCAAAAATCGACGTTATAATCAAGAACGTGTCTTAAAGACATTGTAATATTATCGTCTATATGGATAAACGCTACACATGGTGACCAAAAATGTAATTTTTTCGCGTACGTACAATCGATTGACATATTATTAGGTACATATAATATGATAATATGATAGATTATGATGCAGCAGCAATCTTGTTATAATATGCGTACATTGTACATAAATAATATGCTTGTTTATTGGAAATATTAAATGCAAATGTTAAATCATTTTTGAAACAATATTTTCCTTCTACAACGACAACGATCCTATTCCAATATTGAAATAGGTTTATCGTTATAATACGTACATTACAATACATTATTACTATTATTATTTTTGTCGGTTGAAAAAATAATAATAGTAATAATGTATCGATACGTCTTTCGTACTGCAGTCTTAATAATAATATTATACGTGTCTGCCACACGTAAATCTGTTATAAAATATCACAGCTACTATAATATAATATAATAATGCATTTCGTATAATACGCGACGGCGGCGACTTCTATAGCATCACCTGCTCGGCTGCGATTACAATGGTGATCGCATTCCCCCGCCCCTCAGAGGCAGTTTGAACGATTACATCTTACCGGGGCGGATAAATTTAAACCACCCACCTACCCTAAAACAATTTTTCTCACTTCGCTATTACTATTACATTTTTTTAAGTTTCATTTAACCAAACTACTGAGAACTGACCCACTGACCAGTGACCACCCACCCACCCATTCTAAATTTTTTTACTAGTAGAAGGTACTTACAAGTTACAAGCCGCCTTTGCGTTTCCTTGCCCTTTCCCACAGCTTAACAAAAGTACAACGTTGTTAGGCCGATCGGTGTTCGGTAGAAAAATAGTCGTGTACGTCACCTGGCAGTGCGTTTTATATTATAGTTTATCAAACTTTAATATTATTATATGCACATACATTGTGAATGCGAGTAGAGGCATATAATAATATATTATTAAGGTATAGTGTCGTACATTATGTCGTTAGATGTTCGAAACGTTTCGGATGTCCCCTTCTCCCCCACTCCGGTCCGTAACACCAACCAGACCACTACCCCACACTGCTCCGCTCCACCTCGCCCCGCACGATTGGACATGCGCAGCACCACTGCACCCCAGAGGTGAAACGCACACGCACACGCATTCGCGCACGCACACTACGCATTCCAGAGATTAACCAAATAACTCGTCGGAGATCCACGCCAGCTCATCGGCGCCTATATAACCGTGTCCGCTGGCCCGTCCCTTGCATTGTGCGTCCACAGTTCATAGCGAACAGACAGAGCCGATTCATATCGCCAGCAACAGTTGCCGTCTACCCGTCAGCCCAGATTTCCAGTTGCATTACCACTTGTTCTCGACGACTTCTTCTCGCCGCCGACAACCTGTTCCGCGTCCAGTACATTATTGTACCTGCTCAACGCATTTTTGTGAGTATATTATTTCTAAGATTCTCGTTTTATTATTGTTAAATCGCTTATTAATTTATTGTTATTGTATAATACGCGTACTCACCGATCACTAGTTTAGAGCCGTTGAATTTAGTAAGAAGGTACATACGGGGCATTTGTTTTGTTTTTTCCTGTCGTAAATTATTAGGTACTAACCGCGTATATCGGAACTACTCAATCGTTATTATCTATTTTCTGCCTTTTGCAATCGTTTTCGAACGCTGCGTCCGAAATAATTTTTATCGAATTCTTCAATTATTACTACATATTATTTTATGATTTTTTGTTTGTTTCTTGTTTCTATTTTTTTAACTGTAACATGTATGTTTTGTGTAATATCCTAAAACACATTGTTTCTCCGAAAATTTCGTTGAGTTTATATCGAATATCCAACCAATAACTTATAACTTATAAAGTATTCTGAGTCTAAGAAAGTGTAGTGGACTGGACTGGCAGAGAATAACTGATAAAATGTTGGTTTTTCGTTATTTGCTGAACTATCGATGCTCATAAAAAATTGAGTTCCTATCCTACATGATATTTTTTTCATCTGCCAGTAATCTCAATTCTGAACGTATGATGTATTATATGAATATATGACGACGTTTTATTCTAAGACATTTTGGAGTTTTCATGGCATTCGTTCAATCATTATATGGCGTTATTCTCAATCTAAAATTATGTGCATAATATTATATGTACCTAATTAATTTTTTTATTACGAGTGTAATATGTAGTTATGAATATCAATAGGCAATAATGATTTTATAATTTCTCTTTGACCACTTCAGACAGTTCAGTGATTCTCTAGTCGTCCCTATTAACTGAATGTTTTTTTTTTATAATTTAGTTCAGAATGAAGTCTCTGTGTGACTGTGCGTATAATAGAGACTAAAGACGTAATTAGATTTCATAAAATTTGCATGAAATGTTACATGGTAATTTCTTATAAAAAGAATATCCATACTTTTTACTCCAAGTTAAAAATGACTCGTTATAATATGGAGAATATTATGTACCTAATAATTAATTTTTTATTTGAAACAAAACTTAAATATTATTATGATAAATTAATATTTTATATGAAGTATGAAATATTTGGAATTTAGACTATGCAATATTATTCACAAGTGTATTATATTGGTTTCTGTGTATTTACTATTCAATCTACTTTTTTCATATCTATTTTATTTATCGCATTTAGTTTAATATTAATATTACCTATATGACTATACAGGGTAATTCTTTTATCAAACAACACTCATCATTTGAAAAGTATTGAAAGTGTTGTTTGATAAAAGAATCGCCCTGTATAGTATATATATACTACATCTAACCGTGATATTCCCTTATTATTAGATATTCAGTCGTATTCCATTATTACCTATGTCCTATATAATGGATGTTTCAAAAAAAAGAAAACAAATCACATGATTTTATGATAAATGTGTTGTGAATGAAATATTTATATAATATTATTATATATTTAATTGATATACTTTTTAATACTTTAGGCTTTAAGTATACCTACGTAATGTAATATATTTACATATTTTTTATTTATTTTTATTATTATTGTTATTTTTATTATTATTGTTATTATTATTATTATTTATATAATGTATGTTTACACTATAATAGGTATTTTAGTTACTTACACATTATGTCTATATGAATATATACAGTTATTATTATTATGGTTTCCACTTTAACAAACTGATTAGGTTCTTAATTTTAATATAACTCTTGTACGTTACCGGACTTTACAGTATTTATTTGTGTAAACCTATTAGCTTTTTTTTCAGCTATCCTATAATATATTTGAATTTTGAATCTTATTTCCTATTTTAAACCTACTTATTATTATACTATATCTTTGATTAGTGAGAGTGTAGGTAAATTAAAGAAAAATCGGAGGTTTGAAAAAATAAACATCATTATTAGGTATAACAAATATATTTATGATAAAACAATTGTACCTGTTATAGTGGGTACAAGTTGTAGTAATTGATTTTTACATTTCCGCTATTTGTTTGATCTTTCATTATCTCATATAATTATTTGAACGTATTTTTACCTACAATAATTGAGTGTGATAATTGAGCATATTATTGTGATCAATATCACAGATACCTAATAACACATACTGTAATTTATGGAATGTACGTCTCCCATATCCTGCAAAAGATTGGCTAATGCTAATAACATTGTTAGAAAGAGATGGCTAATATTTGTGCATAATACACGATGGGACCTAAAGTGTATGCTATATATTACTAACAATGATGGCCCCGGGTATATTTACACTCTCTATTATCAGTCCATTTCTTTATAATAATATGTCTTAAGTCCATTGGTCCATCACACTATTACGTGTCAGTAGATTTTATTATTTCCTAATAGTAATATGACTTTTACTCGACTATAGACAAAATAATTTATTGAATTGGTTCGTTTTCGTTGGGAAGACTTTTGGGTACGATTCAATGTACCAAATTTCGAGTTCAGTCTACAATATTCAAGCACGCTTTTATACATATTATAATAATTAAATAGTATAATTTATATATGTTCATTGATTATTAATAGGTGTTAAAGTAAAACTGTTCACTGTTCAAATATTATTACGTGTAGGTACAGTGCGTATTATATAATTAAAGACAATTTTTTTTAGTATCGATACTCATAATTATTACCCAATTCCATATGACGTGTACAATGTAAATTTTTTTTGTAACTACGAGAGTATATAGGAATGTTTGTATCCAATTTTATAAATCCATAAAATGACTTTCATGATATGCATAGTATTTCAATACAGGTATTGGATAAACAAAGCGCATTCTTACTAGATAAGTTTTTTCTTGATTTAATTGTTGAAGGTATATGTAATCTATCATTGTCAAAATTATTTTCGTTAAATATATTTTTTTTGTAATTATTAATAATTAAAAGAATTCAAATATTTCTATTAGGTATTGATAGATTTTAAGTGAGGTATTTATTGTTTTTAATTGTTTATTTATTTATATTAAATACGGGACGAGCCCAATTACATTGTTTTGCATTGAAAACTATACTAGGTAATTATACTAGGTATTTACTATATTATATTATTATTTCTTACTTTATTTTTTTGGGTTATCTATTTGTTAGCTTAGACGAATGATATATTGAAACTATTGTTCTTAATATGTTTTTTATATTAGTTGTAATGTGTTTTCTTTTGGTCATGTGCGATGGATCCACATTAGGCTATATTAAAATAAAAATACTATTCTTACTGATTCTATTTTAATGTAATTTCCTTATTTAACAATTATAGAAATTCAGATATTTAGACAAATTTACATAATGCACATTTCTTTTCTGATAAAATTAATAATATTATACACCTATATTATTAATTATTATATTATATAATACAGAGAACTACAATCAATAAATATTTTTCAGAATATAACATATCGCGTATCTTATATACAAACATGTGTAATACCAACAATAAACCCGAAGTGATAACCATGGATAACACAGTAGCGGAAAAGGAAGACGGAGCCAAAGATAAAATTTCGTAAGAAACTATAATAGTATAATATATACCAACATACGTGTATTTGGTTAATAATAAATTTAAAGAAAATAATCAAATACCTCCTCATATTTTCATGTTTTTTTTCCGGTTTCTGGACACTCGCTGCATCCAACACTGGACCCGTTCACCCGCTGCATAACTAGAAATTCATCAGCGCTAATGCACATGATTAAATCCACCATTGGTGGTGGATTTCTAGCAATGCCAGAAGCGTTTCATAACGCCGGACTGTTGGTGGGAACAGTGGGCACGATGATCCTTGGAGTGGCCGTTTTAAATATGATGTCCTTTATCGTGAGTATTGACATTTTTATTAAAAAAAATTCGAGCATTTTTAGATTAACGACAGATCACCGTAATTAGGTTGGATTACGTTACATTATAAGTAAAGTACCTACCAGTTTGGCTTTGACAATAATATTATGATGTTACGGACTTTTTTTTTAATCATACATTTGCGGTGTCCACGTTCAAAATATTATACATCAGATTTTTTATATATTGATAAATGATGGTTAAAGATGAAAGTTATGGTTCTCAAAATTGTTTCTTTAAACAGAAAATTGTCTTAAATGGAAGTTTGTTTTATAGAAGTTTCACTGCGTAATAAGTTAATCGGTATAGTTGTCCGTAAGTTACACATGGGAAGTCATAATTGTTAAAATTTGAATGTGACATAATATAATATTATCATTTTTATTACCTCCGCCTTCCCTTACCGATCCACTGACGCGTTAGGTACAGTTAGCTTGCGTACCTCACCAGTTTTACTGTTGACACGCCGATCGGTTAAAACCAGTCGGAATTATCATACAACATCGCTACTGAATTTTACATGTGGTTGTGTAAACACATTATAATGTTATATCTAACTATATTTATGGTTGTATATATTATTATTATTGTTGTTGTTTATATTTTTATAATATGTTTACAATATGATGTATAGTAATAAGTAATAACGGTTCTTTTTTTATTTAACTAGGTAAACATCGGTTATTTTACCATTGTTGTTTTCCAATAACATATCATTCATAACTAATGATATAATATATCTTTTATCTTAAATATTCTTATCACCAACGTACCAATAATTTACATAAAAAACCCATGTATAAATGTAAAATAATTAACGATTATATAATCAGAATACGTAAGGAATATGAATAAGTACTGTTTCGTTAACGCGATTTAATTATATCCCAATGGTCAATCCTCAAACTTAATGTTATTACACTTCTTGAGTTCTTTTCTGCCTACCGTATTATAAGCAAAATGTTTCCAAAACCATATTAATATTCATGGTTATATGTATAAAAATATCTATATTATTAAGTAGTAGTCTACCTTCTACCAGTCTACGGCCGTCGTGGTGCCGCTTTTCACACTGCAGTCTTCATATTCACATGAAATTAGAAAGAAAAATAATAATAACAAAAACACAACCTCTAAGTACCACAAAATTGTACTTTTCAGTATAAACATTGTCACACTTCAAGTAGGAGTTTAAAAATTTATAAATCCACATCTACAAAAATATTCCAAACATACTTTATTTTTTAATATCTAATATTAATTTAAACAGTATGTTAAACACTTTCCCTTAAAATAAACACATAATATGTGCATGGTATATATCATTTTTACATAATATATTAAAATCCTTGATAAACTGTGGTTAAATTAATTAAGTACCTATATTTAAATTAAGTTAGTGCCATTATACCTGTAAAATATTTTCATAGTGTGATGCACTAAGTACATTTATTTTTAAAAACTCAATTAAAAATGTAAAACTTTTCTTCATTGAGCTAACAATATTGACCATGCATAACTTATCCAATATTGGATTCAAGCGTTGTGAAACCAAGCTATTCTCGTTATATTTAATAATTATGTCACTTAACTATGAGTACTCAATTGTACGTGTGTGTAGGTTCGTATCTCCCAGAAATTGAGATCCGGTAAATACGCTGCCGCAATTTTGGCAGAAAAAAATAAAAATGATGGTGGAATTGAAGGCAAGAATGACGTCGTAGAGCAAATTGACTTTAATTCCAATAAACTAATTTTAAAGCCGATGGACTACCCGGACACAGTGGAGGCAGTGTTCAAGTACGGCTCAGGAGGCCATTTCGCGTCATGGGCCCAACGTGCCAAGTACGTATATAAAATATATAAATTATAATAACCTTCGATTACGCCTATTCTTGACATAAGTCGTAAACATATATATATATATATTTACATATTATTGTAATACTTACCTACACAGAACTATAACCGATTTCGACAAGTGGTATAATATTTTATAATATTATAACGATGATACGAAAATTTCGAATTATATAAATAAGTACTTATACACATAGTATATAATGTTATATGTCGAATTTCCATATAATAATCATATCAAATATTATGTATTTGGACGACAACAATTTCGTGGTAGTATAGCCGTATATATGTACGCATGTTTGATCGTATAAAGGTCGAAGTAGGTAGGTACATAGTGAGCAGCTGCTGAGTACACGCGGTTTTCGAACCCTCCGAAAATACAATAATAATATTATATAGCTGGATCCCTTTGAATTTTAGGATTCTGAGTCATGTGTACCAATTCACCACTCCTCTATACACCCTCTATCTTGCAATATTATACATTTCTGAGCTGAATCTCGGGCTCTCTGATTTATTACTAACCGTCAAATATTTTGTTTGTTTGTTTATTTGCTTACTTCACTGCCGTAACTCCATACACTGCGAACAGAAAGTTAACCACTGTTACATTGATCGTGACTTATTACGGAGTCAACATCATCTACGTGTGCATCGTGGCCAGCACCACCAAGCAGGTACGACTAGTCCGGATAATAATATACATGCCGGATAGTTAATAATAACATAAAATATAGTAACGACACTAAAACGCTTATTTGTATTGCATGCATGGTAACTCAACACGTTTATCCTCTTACATTTATACTGCACATTTCAGTGGACTTAACATATAGGTTTTTGGACGCTTCAGATATCATAGGAAAACACATTATAAAACAGTAATTCGGCTCTCAAAACTCAAAACATTTAAATAAAATTTATTTTATTTTTTTAAAAAAAGTGGACTTGTCTCGTTGTTGCACGGAGCCCTTCAAATGTAGTAGGTACCCAACTATAAACTTTATTATAAGTTGGCTATCTCATATTTGTATGAACAACGAACACCAACATTTGAATTCATTTAATTGCGAGTTCATAATTTACATTTATAGTTTTATTTAAACAAAAATATACAGTGAATTATAACGATTCTCTCATTTTAATATGCAGTATAAGTGTATAGTAATTTATGTTTTATAAAAAAAATGTTCGAAAAAATGTATCAACGAGAAAGAATACTGCCAACGAGATCGTTATTAGTTATTATTATTCATACGCTTAATAATTAATAGATACTTATTAATATAAACAACATCTTCCAGAAGTCCCTGTAATATAAAATATTAAGTAGTACATAAATATTTTTGAAATTTGATTTTTGACATACTACCTACTCATAATTGATTTAGTATTACGTTGGATTTAAAATGATTGAAAAAGAGCTTTAAAATTGTAATTGTTCACAACTAACATTTATTTTAAGTTTTAACATGCTGTTATACCTAACCTCAAGTCTATTAATTAAACGCAATACTATTTTGGAATAATTATGATGGTACTAAGTACCTACACTGCTGCAGATTATCATAAGCTTAAAAAGTAATACATTTCAATATAAGTCTAAATAAAATAATTTCATCTTTGCAAACAACTTGACAACGAGACTCGTTGAACGCACTGCCGTATAAACGTCTTTATAATAATGTACAGCCCTCCTACGGTTCCAAAATACTTATATTAATAATCGCACATTATTCACCCTCCGCCTTTTCCATTACAGATAGTCGACGTTCACACTAAGGATTCAGAAGTGGGCACATTGGGGTACGCATTGCACGGGCTGTCTGTCCGCTACTACCCATTATGTGTTGCAATTCTTATAATCCCTATGGGAATGATTCAGCTTATAAAATACTTGGTACCGTTTTCTGTTGTGGCAAACGCACTTATGTCAGTCGGGACCTTAGTGCTATTTTATTTCGTGTTTACGGACGATAATGGGCGCAACCCGCTCAACCCAGAAGAAATGGCCAAAATGGTGGTGTGGCCGATTGCCAGATGGACTTTGTTTGCCGGAAGTGCCCTATGCTCGATGGAGGGCGTCGGAATGGTGAGAGTTGTTTTTTTTTACAATTTTTTTTTTTATAGTGTAAGCCCACATTTATGTAAACTAAGGCAAAATAATATGTGTTATTAAATCTTTCCTTTTAGATTTATAATATTTAGTAACCAGTGGGCTATATTTAATTAAAAATTCACATAAATCTCTTAAAAACTAAATTATTGTAAAACAGCCACACACAAACACAGATAATCTCCTTACAGTAGCGTCCTCTTAAGTTCTATTATACAGCGTGTAACAGGAAGACCTGATAGATAATTTTCAATATTAATCAATATTAAATTTTTTTTTTTATAAATAATTGATATTCATTTGCGTTACACGTATAATATAAAAAAAATTATTTTTATTTTTAATAGCCAATTTGTGAATCTGATTATAAAAATAATTTTGATGGAAAAAACATTTCTCTAAGTCAAGTAGTTTATTTTTTAAAATATCAATATTTTTTTTATTGAATTAATTTGGAACGTAATAACTTTTTTCAAAATGCTAACATGAGTAAATATATTTTTTAAATTATTTACTAATCATATAATTTTAACAAATTTTGTCAAACGTTTAAATAGCATCATTTTTTTTTTTTTTTTGTCAGGTCTTCTTGTTACATCCTGTATATCTAATATCTATCTATGTGTAGTAGCTATAGTTAAAAGAGTTTGAAAAACGTCCACTTTACAATGTAATAATATCATAATCTTCACGATAAGAACTAAAAAATCAAATATTCAAGGAATACAAATTATAGTCGATAACATTAACTGCATTACAATTTTAACATTAAATTGAGGAAAACAATATGTGCCAATAATATACTTAATACAATTTAGATGTTATTTAAAATTTAAAAATTATAATTTAACTTGTCAAAAAATAATATCGGTAGAGTTAACATATATTTTACAGGCCGAAAGTTGGTACCAGTGAAATTTACATATTTTTCAGGCTAAAAATATATACCGGTGATATTTATACATATGGGTACAAAATAGGTATTTTTATAATTGGTGGAATTTTACAATCGTCCGTTTTTTTTCAACTTCATTGACTCAATTAAAATCATTTTTACGACATAATAATAGTGTTATTATTTTATTAGTGCTTAAAGTAAAATACTTTTATTTTCTTTTATTAGTATAGGTAATTTATTTCACATCTATATGGTATATAATATTGTAATGTAGGTGTACCCTGTACGTTTTTTTGAGTTCGAAAATGTTTAAATTTAAAAGTCTAATCAATGGTATTTAACATTAGTACAAACATAAATGTACGAGTTTTACTTGATCGCAAATTCTTACATAACTTCTACAACACAAATCACAATATAACTATTGATTCTCACTAAAAAAAATATGTAAAACAACAACTATAGAATCCTAACATGTTATTCTTAAAGCAATATGAAGATAAATTTAAAGTTTTCCAATCTTATCCTAGAGTAAAAATTACAATTATAGTATTTAGTAGTTCACTGCCTACTTAATTTAAGTTGTTAACTATATGTTATAGTCGTGAACGAATATTGATTATAGCAGCGGTTCCCAAACTTTTTTCGCTCACGGCGCCCTTTTTGAACTAAACTTTTCTCAAGGCGCCCTTCCCAAGACATAGCATGACTAATCATAAAAAATGAATAAAAAACAAATAAAAACCAGACCATTTTTTAATAATAATACAAGAATATTTATTTAATTTTAGTTATATACTTTTTACACATTTTAATTATTTTTGAAGATTTACATTTATATTTAGAGGTCGAAATAGATAGGTATAAAATTAATGTGATGGATGTGCTTGCATATTTGCTTGCCTCATTATAAGAGGCTATCAATGCATTGTTTGGTATTGATGCATTCTTAAAAAATATACTTTTTTCCTGTTTTAGTTCTTTCCTCTTTCTATCAAAATAATCGCGAGATTTTCCAACCGCATACTTATGATTCGTTTCCAAATGGCGCTTCAATTTACTTGGCAACATGCATTCTGGTGCTAAAACTTTCATACACATTACACATAATGGTCTTTCTTCACCATTCACTTCTGTCGAAGTAAAACCATATTCCAAGTAATTGTCATCATACTTCCGATATTTTCGTTTTTTTACAGTCGGGCTGTTACTGGTTGAGGGTATACTTTCCTCCTCTTCACAACGTTTATGACTGTTCAATAAAAATCGATCCATGATTTAAAAAAAGTCACAAAATTAACAAATTTTCTATATAAAAACGACGAACACGAATACACGATAGAGCAACACACTACGCGAGACTGGCGGTCATACTAATCCGAAAACAAATTTTATCAAACGTCTCATAAAGTCATGACTATGGTCTAAAAATAAATTTAAACTCATTAATGGTGGTGAGGATAATGCGTCAGAACCGATAACGATAAACAGTTTATCAGTTTTGTGAAGTCGGAGAAAAAAAATTATTTTTGTCTACCGATATTATAGTAATCGGTTTTGTCGCATTACCCTCGCCGCCGTTATCGAGTTAAAATTTATTTTTAGACTAGGTAAATTTCTACGGCAACGCGGCGCCCCTAAAAAGACATCGCGGCGCACCAGGGCGCCGCGGCGCACAGTTTGGGAACCGCTGGATTATAGTAATGGTAACACATTTTAAATATATAATATAGTACCATAATTCATAATAATATATAATATATTGTGTATATAAGAAAATCCCATAATTATATATTACAAAATAGTTTTTCTTTAAATCTAAAGTTGAAATTACTTAGAATTAATAATATATTATAATATAATATACATATATTATACCTATAGGCTATAGGTAGTACTTCATTTGGGCAAACTTTATAAGGGGGGTGCAAAAGTGTAAAAAAAATGTTCATCCACCTGAATATTTAAATGTCTTATTCATTAATATATAACTGGTCATGAGAATATGGTTATGGTAAATCTAAGAGTAATATATATATTTTTTTTTCTAAATAAAGTCCACCCCTTAAATAAAGCATCACTGCCTATGGGCTATAATACTATATTTAAGACTAAATTTTGCTCTTTCTTGTTCAATATGTCATCCATCCGTCCATCTCATGCCGTACTCAAATACCTGTACCTTTCACGTATATAGCTGATGCACATTGAAAACTCTATGAAAAAACCCCTCGAACTAGCTGGACCACCGGGATACACACTACACTGGTCAATGTTGATCATTGTCTTGCTGAACGGTGCGTTGGGATTTTTCGGCTACATACGATACGGAGAAAGGTGCTTAGGAAGTGTACCACTCAACTTACCATCAGACAACAGGTTGACATAATATTCTGCATATATATTACTTATACACTACGCCCATAAACGGCTCGTGATAAGCTTTTATTTATTATACTGTAATTGTCGATTTTGTGTTTGTATAGTCTTTCAGAGTGCGTAAAAATTGTTGTTACGTTGGGCATACTGATGACCTACGGCCTTCAGCTGACCGTCACTGCTGACCTCGTATGGCAGTGGCTGTTGAGAAGGTCGGATGCAAACGTTTCTACGAAAGGTGGATCGGACACTGCACAAGAAGTGAACAATAAAAATAAATACAATATTATGAGATTCTCACTGATAATCGGTACCGGTAAGTGTATACACAAGACATAATATCTAGCTTAGATTTATATTAATCGTGTTATGAGAATGTGCGAACTTGATACTTGACGACTTGGAGTAGGTATATCGTTTCGTGTCTGTTATCACGCATCTTATTTACGGACTAACAAATTATCGATAATTCATCGATACAAGTTTGAGTTCGGTCGTGACAAGTTGATGGGTAAATTATTAATGGACGTTTTATGGTTTTACGTGTGATTGCAGTTATTGTGGCGACAGTGGTGCCGGATGTCGGCCCCATGATTTCTCTAGTGGGTTCTGTTGGTTTTTCGGTCCTAGGTCTACTGATACCCGCAGCACTTGAAACTGTGTGGTATTGGGACCTACAGAGTGAGGACGACTCTTTTGAAGAACTAGCTGATGCCGATGTCGAATTGAACCAAATCGGATTGGCGTCATCAACGGCTTTGACATCAAGGGTTGACAATTGGAAAGAGAGAAAAATCGCCGTCAAAAGAAAATTAAGGCACATAAAAAATGTTATTTACGTGATATTAGGATTGTCCGCGCTGGGCGGCGGGGCCTTTTACAACTTAAAAGAAATGTTTACTCCTGCCCCAGACCATACGTCATAATATAATATTAATTATATTATATTAATATGTTCAGTGGGGCCCATTATCTTCGTGAAGAATAAATAAAACTAAAACATAAATAATTAATATTGTTGCGATACAGGGCCCGTATCACCATTTTTCTCTCGCCTTTCGTTACCATCCGCTCCGTGGATCAATTTGTTTTATATTCGGGATTTACTTTATTATAAAACTTCTATATTATTAGGTATATTTATGTTCCTTTCAACGTTGATCTCGCGTCCCCCATTGGCTCACAGCCCTCGACCGAGCCACACGTTCGGAACGATATTCGATCGCGCCTGACGCTATTATTTTTTGTCGATCGACGCTCCTACGAGCTGAACAGCGATACGACCTCGATGGTCATCGCGCACCTCTGCTCGCCCCGTCAACCAAATTCATGTTCCACCGACGTCCTCGTCTTTCCGACTAGCACCACCGACTAGCATCCAAAACCGACTATGCAACCGTTTACTTATTCGTACTGTATACGATCATGTGTATTTATTTTCGATTTGTATAATAATTAATAAACAGCTTTCGGCGCAATGCGTCTTAATGAAACAGTGTGTTTGTTCATTATGTCTACTTACCTAAAACCTGTGTATCTATAGTCCAAAGGGAGACATTAACTTGTTAAAAAGTTAAAGTTAATTTTTTTTAACTTTTTAACTTAAATTATTTTTGTTTTTAACTTATTAGCTTACTCAGTTAAAATTGTTATTGTTGTAACTCGACTTTTTACAGTTAATTATCATTGTTGTGTAGTTAAGTTAATTTTCTTTTCGAGTCATGCGTAATCAACTAGGTAATACTGATTCGTCGACTTTTTTTACGATTTTGGTAATTTATTTTCGAATTATATATTATAATAATCTAATTTTTTACACAGTGTTAAATGTCTTGGTAAATGTTTGTGTATAACAAAATACTATGGTAGTTTATGACTTAAATATATTGTACCTTCAAAAAAATTAACTTTTTTTTAACTGAGACAAGTTAATTTTATTTTCTCTATTATCTTAACTTTAAACTTATCTAGTTAAATTTTTTTCTTTGTTTACTTTTAACTTAATTAAAGGCAATTTAATTGAATTAACTTAACTTGTCACAGTTAATTATTTTCATTAACTTGCCCACCATTTGATTTACCTTCTACGACGGAGTTTAGATTCAAGCGTATGCTGGCCAGTGCGGGGTGTCCTCACTACAACACCGACGTCCACGACGACCGGCATCCCGCACTTGTACCACAATATTATAATATTTAAGACCAGGGGTTAAAGTGGGGGGAAGCAGGAGGACTCAGTCCCCCTACCTCTGACGGCGGTTAAAAAGCGTCCCCTTTTAACAAATTAGGATTTTATACATTAGACATTATACATAAAATTATATATGGAACGCTTAAAACTATATGGATACATTAGTCCCCCCATTTTTCCCCACTTTACCCCTGTTTAGGACCGCCAATGTACATAATATTGAACATAACCGTTATTGCACTAGTTATTTTTGTGAATTTCCCTCGATTTTGCTCATATATGGCTATACCGTTAAATGTTTATCCTAATGCGACTGATTCGTTTTGCTTACGTTTTTCGTAATATTTTTAACTATTATTTTTAATCATAGATTTAGTTAATTAATATAATCATATTATAGTATATTATATTGTGTTATTTTTTGGTCACTATAATGCTATCCTAAATAACCATCATCATATCCTAATAACCGCCAATACTTATAAGTACCTAAATAATAAATACCTCCAAAATTAGAGTAACAAATTCAATGTATTTCCTAAAACAGCATATTTTAATAAATAAATATAACATGAAACATAATAATATTATGTATATAGATAAACCATACAAAAATACAAAATGCAATTTTCAATTTTATTATGTTATAATGCAGGTGTAAGTGCAGGTGCAGCCATTTCAGTGAAATATTTGAGATGTTCCTGAAGCAGGTGCCCGTAGTACTTGTGTGCACTTGTCTTTTATTAAACTATCATAAATGTACAATAGATTGTACGGATACTAATAATATTATTCACAGGGGGACGAGGTGGCCGAACGGTCTAAGGCGTCGGCAGCCGTCGCCGGTTTGATTCTTGCGGCCACTGGGCAGCATTTTTCTTCGGGCAAGTCACGGTGTCCGGAGAACAAGTGTCGCCATCCCGCACCCGGGGCATGACAGAAACCTACAGGTGTCCCACTAGAAATTTTTCCACAACACACATACGTGTACCAAACCTATACAATATAACAACTCACCGTTCCACCCCCACCCCCTATGTTGCCGCGGGCCATCTAAAAAAAAAATTATTCACAAAATGTTTTTTTTTAAGGTAGCACTAAATAGGTATAAATTTGTATAATGATGCAACTTTATAGTACAGTGGCACACACTCACGGGTGGGGAGGTGTGTTCAATCCCCCGAGGTATTTTTTAAGTATACGTATAGGTAAATAATATTGAGTTAATAACATTTCAAAAATATTTTGATATATTATATTATACATATATAGATATGATTTTTTTAATTCAACACCTCATCCCATTGGAAATGTCCATGTACGCCACTCTTATAGTTTATAGTACCTACCTACTATTTATTTTAGTCTTTTTTAAATAGTTAAACTTTAGGTAGTACAGTTTCGTATAGGTATTCGTGTTAAATATCAAATGGTAAATAAATGAAAAATGTGAACAAGTCGGTACACAATTATTTAGTAATTGTGATTGAGAAAAAATGGCCTAATCAAAGAGAGTTTAACTACGTGAATTATCAGTGAATATCCGTCAAAAACACTGAACATGTGTAGCTCATTTTTAATTTAATCGAAAGTAGAAAAAGGTTCGATTTTTATTTCAATTTAAAATAGTATTTTATTGAACTTCAATCTCATAAAATCGCCTTCACGCCTATTGTTGTCAAATATATCTATCAAAAAAAAAAAATTTATAGCATTTTGATTTACAATATCGATGCTTGTGTATTTTGTGTGACAACGAAATTAATATTTACTGTAGGTAAGTTATAACTTATAATAAACGTCAATGGATGTTCAAAATATACGTTCAAGTGCCTACACCACTTCGACTTGTATTCGAGATGTCAACAGTCAACACTAATCCTAGGACAGGTAAGTGATACGTATCAATGATTTTGTCTGTATACCTACACTTTTTATATTTTTATGTTTCTAAATCAATACTAATAATAAACAATGTGACGAGAAAAAATATGTAATTTTATGTTGGATTAGTTTATAAATGATAATACATGAATAGGTAACAATTTAAAAAAAAAAAAAATCCATTAAAAAAACTAACTTATAAAAATAAAAAATGTGATACTTAAAATTATTATTACCTGGGTAGCTTTCAGCTACAAAAAACACGATTTTTAACATTTTCATTAGAATTAAATAATATTTAATTTTCTGATTTTACTGAAAGTTTTAAGAATGATACGACTGTATATTATATGATGCATACAATTAAAACTGAACAAAAGTCTATAGCTACGAGAAAAAAATATATCCAATTTGTTGAAAATTATTAAACTATATGTAGGTAGTTATCTTATAAGATTATTACATTTGTTTATTTATATTTATATTAGATTTTTTATTAAATATTTAATTTTTCCACAGCAAAATATTTGATTCTTAATCAAACAAACTTTTAAGTTTTTACCTGCATATAATAATTCTATTTGTATATTTAGTGTCTACTCAATAAATAAAACTATCATACATTTAAAAAATTCTAACTGTTTTTATAAAAATGTCAAAATATAGCGTAGGTATAGAAATTATAAAAATAATATTTTGGTGAATCTGTTATTATTATTTATTATCTAACAAAATTAAAGTATTAAAATAATCTTTAAAAAAAAAATGTAATATTATGTATCTACTAAATTATAATTTTGATTTTAACTAAAATCATGCCAATCAAATTGAAGTTGTGAAAAAGTAAAACTATTAAATAAACAACGTTTTATGTGTACAATACATCGTAGATATTGGTAGGTATATTTATTATCTATTCACTTATAGGATCAATTATTTAATTTATATGTTAGTTATAAATACATTTGTTTTAGTAGGTACATTCTGATTTAACTACGCTTTGGAATTATTTAATTTGGTGTTCTAAATCGAACAAAAGACGAAGGTATATTAAATACCTATGCCCACCAACAGATACTCAGACACCTACTCAGACATTAAATGTCAATACATTTTCTTGAAATTCCGTGTATTGCATTATGTAATCTTGACAACAGTGGCGGAAATTGAATCACATTAACTTCCGATACAATTTTTAAAGAGAAAAACTGTAGTTTCGGTCTTGAACGATTCCTACTGATTTTACGGATTTACATTTTACACAGCTAGTTCAAATGATAATATGGGTGTTACACTGAATTAATAATAACAAGATAATATCATTAACAATTTAGTAGACGTAAATAACCGTAGATTATAGTATTATGTATTATTATATACATATGTCTACATATCAAATAGTTCAAAACAATTATATGGAAGAGCGCATTTATAATATTCGAGATAACGACGGCGCATTGCCATGAAAATAAAATAATTATTTATTTAAATAGGTATTTGTGTTGATGAATCAGTAATGCAGGTCATTAAAAATTAAAACTATTGTAGTATCGAAAACATATCGTAGTTACTTAACCTTCTCGGTAATCGACTTTTGCCATCACGCCCATACATTAATGTATAATATATCTATAATATTATATCAACAACATTAAAAACACAAAAAGTTTTGTTTCGCCGTGCTTTATCGAAATACCAATTAATTAACATCTTAAAGATGGACATTTTTGTATGGGTACAATATTTAAAAATTACTTTAGATTCTGAGCGGAGCGATGGATGTACTGATCTTACAATTATGAGTATTTCTTTTTTGTTGTATATGTCTGTTTACACGATAAGTATAGTCGA